ACAAAAGGCACAGCTGTCAAAATAAGGCTGCATGTCCCATGGAAGCTTGGAGATTCATTTTATGAATCAAATAAGCTTTAAAGTTCATTCAACTCAAAAACTCAGAGGATACTATTAAGCTTCTATTAAGCTGCTGACATGGAAATTGCAGTTCTATCCCAAGAAATATTTTTTGTCCTTTTCTTTATGAAAGCATGGAGACAGCAAATCTGGCAGACATATCAAACTGAAAACTGGATAACATATGCCTATATCTGCATCTATATTGCTATTTTTCTCTATTCCATATCAAACTAAATTCCGGACAATCTGTCTATCTTGGTCTCTGTCTCTAGTTCTACTACCTCTGTGTCTCTCTCCCAATTCAGCTCTGCATTGTAACAAGCAGCTATATACTTAAACGGTCTGAGTATTAAGCCAGCATTTGAAAACCTAAATGCAGATACTGGATACAATGAAGGGAGCTGATGCAAAAAATAAAAAAAATAAAACACCAGAGAGCACATCATTGATAGATCTGTTTACAAATATAATGATTGGATTCATACAGTGTTTTAACCCAGAATGAAAACATACCATGTTGTTGGCTTGGCGGGATGTGTCAACTCAGCCATGCAAAGGAGCATTCTTATGTAGTACAAGTTGGTCTCAGTCCTTCAGTTCAACAGGTTGTATTCAGAGCAGAAATCTTGTTAGATGCTGATGAGTTTCTTCCCCTGGGGTTGGTATGCACATTGCGGTGGGGAGAAGGAGCAAAGTTCTCTTCCGCCATCCAGTTGGCTTATCAAGGCAACTGAGGCTGTTTTCTAGCTGGGTGGAGATGTTTGCTTCTGCAAAATCCTTTAGTTATTCAGTGATCGAATCCCTAGTTCCCTGAATGGGACCTCAATGTTGAGTGTATACCCAAAAACCCAGAATAACAGGCTGAAAGCCAAGAGCAGCGCTCCAGTATAAACAAAGAAATCCCAGGAGCTCAGAAAGCGACAGAGCCCAAGGACGAGGAGGACCAGTCCAGCCACATCACATAGGGCGGCTGCAAGGAATATCAGAAAACATCGAGTCCTGCGGAAAAAGAGGATCATGGTAAGCACAGCCTCAGGCAAGAGAAAACCTGAGCACCGCTTTCATCTCCCATGCCACTTGTCAAAAAATATCCACGCTGCCTTAAGGCCAGAAGGAAATATACCTGTCCTAACGCACCTCCCAGAATGATAGGCAGATTTGCCAGGCAAGGCTTTTAACTCCTTCCTGTTCTGTCATTGGACTGAAGTGACACATATTTGCTGACAGGGCTTCCCATATAGAACCAGATCTATTTGGTTTGATTTGGCTTTGTTTTGTTTTCATTTAGGTACTCAAATTTGGTACAGCCTTAGCTAAGCCACGTGTGGTGTTTGTGTTTTATATTTATTAAGTTCTTTTTAACGCAGATGTTTTATATTCATATTAAGAATTGAATACATTTTATATTGTTAGATTAGCAAGTGTATTAGGATCGGTGATCTGCATTGGGATCTCCTGGGAAGTTTAGTTCAGACACATCTGCAAGGCTGTAGATCCTACATTCCTAGTTGATGAAGCCTTTCCCATACTTCCTAGCCAAAGGGCAAAGAAATCCTAAAACCTGCTGAGAGTCAACCCTGACTTCTGATGAATTCATGGACATTTCATAATCCATGTCATTTTCTTGGCAGAAATACAGAAATGGTTTCTTCTGGAGTGTTTCTTTTCTATTTTTCTCAACTACAATCTAGGTTATCCTGATAGCCTGTCTCTTGCTCTCATCCATTTATTTCTGGGCCATCTTGCAACACTCTTGTGTTTAGCATAAAACCGCAGCATTTGCAGTTCTACAGTGTTTGACTGCTTTTTTATTCCAGCTGTTGAATGGCGGATCACTGAAATCAATACTGAATTGTGATTGTGAAATATGAATTGATAATATATCAGGTGCTTGTCAACACTGGACTCCTTTACTGGAAGAATGGTATTTTACATGCTGTTAATATCAGAATCATAAAAAGAAAACACGCTTACCATATCTGGACTACAAAAGACTGGATAACCATTAGAGGACAGCAAAACAACAACAACAACCCTCAAATTATTTTCTGTTATCTAGGGGCATATTCAGATGTTTACAGCCTAGATATGGTATTCCCCACACAATAATATCTATCTATTCCAAATGGTGATTTTTTCAAAGCCATTGGTCTTTCTTTGGCCTGCAAGCAGATGTAAGGAACGAATTTAATCTGTTAATCTGCAATCTTTTCTCTCATACCCCATGCTGCTATTGAAGAGTTAAGTGCTTGTCATTCTTTATAAATAGTATTTTTCTCTTGCTAAAGAATAGGATGGGATGGATTTCTAGGTTGTGCAGATACAATGCAGACCATGGATGTGATACTTTTTATGCCAGAAAATTCCATTCAAATACATTATTGTTTCGTAGTAGGATGGGTATATTCCTTACAGTCACAAAACAGGCAGTAATTTAACAGAGGAAGCACTATTCAACAAGGCTTCTTTGTCTGCCTGCCTGCTTGAAAAGTGTCCATACTGCAATCCTCTGTATAGAAGAGTCTATTTCCTGATCATTCTTCTAAAGAATCTTTCTAATCTTTTCCATCTTCCATCCTCAATGTTTTTAAAATAAATTTCTGTAGTGTGGGAATAATACATAATGGGAATATAGAATCTACGATATTTATTTTGTTCAAGGACATTAGGCTTTACTATTTTCCTAGCAAAGCTCCTACCACTTAGAGGCCTTCCATGAAGTGCTCCACATGTAGCAAGGCATCCTCTCTTTTTGTCAGTCAAGTATCCTGGGTAATGAAAATCACATCTGTTGGGATAACCAGGATATGAATCGTACCAGGAACAACATTTGTACCAATCTTAGGCTTGGTTGAATATTCTGCCAGATGGCCAGCTCCCCACCTCTGCCATGCTTCTTAGACTGAGGTGTGTAACCAGATTTCCTTGTCAGCCAGACAACAGTCCTAGCTCAGTTGTTTTGTCACTCACTGGCTGCCTCCCCTAATAACTAGTTTTGTACTGTAACAATGATACAGGAGTTCTGAATGATCCCATCCTTTTTAAATGCCCAGGAACCTCTAGGCTGCCTCACCAAGGTAAAAGAAACACTTGAAATGACTCTTTGTCCAGTCAGGGCTATTATTATTTCTATACCAAAAATCACATTTTGATTTGCCTTCCTGTGTCTGGAAGAGTCATGTTCCAGTTCCTGGGATGAGATGATGATAAGTCATCCTGAGCTGAAGGAACATCATATGAAAAACCAAACATTTGAGCCCTAGTTTGGATTGATGCAGGATGGTGACTCTTCAGTCTTTGCAGCACACTCAAGCCATCCTGAGGAACCAAAATAATTGGCAGTCTTACTATGGACTGGAAGAAAAAGGCTGCCTGAGTTCACATCCTTTTGGAAGCCTTCTTCCTATAGAGCACAGGCCTGTGGCTCAAATCAAACAACCAAAACAGGTGGCAAGGGCCAAATAATATCTGTGCAACGATTTACCAGCTTTTTAAATGATAAAAATAGCAAACAACATCAAATAAAAACTTAACAGGAAAATTGCAAACTAATTTAAAAAACCCACTCCTATAATCCCAGTTTACCACCTGTTCCTAGGGTGAAATCATTAGATCATTGTTGTACCTCTTACAATCCTTTTCTGCTAAAGGATGGATGGATGAAGATGCAGCCCCTGTCTGTCAAAAAGATTGTCCCTTGTTTTAGTGGAAGCCTCCCTTGCTGTAGGAAGCCTAGGATGGTTTCAAAGTCTTTCTCATCATCATCTACTGGGGAAAAATAGGGAAGCCCCTTCTAGGTCACTCTGGTACTATGCATCTCACAACCACAGTGGGAGAGCATATGCTACTGATGGCCAAATCTGGCTTCTAGATAAGAGCCTTCTTATGCCTCATAGACCAGGGTTGTTATATATAAGAGAAGGAAGAGGTGACTCAACTAGGAGAGTTGAAAAAGACTTTCCCCTCCTTGAAAAAGGTCCTGCCTAATTTCCATGAAGCTTTCCTATATGCAGATATATTTTTTTAAGTGTGATATCTTTTGATGGACAAATGCAAACTTTACTTCATGCCTGTTCTCATATCACAAAACTATCTCAAAGTAATCAAATGCCTTCCAGCTTTAAGGAGATCCTTGTCAACTTTACAGTTCAAAAGTAGAACAAGATTTCCCCTTCCCCCTTTATTGTTTCACCCTTTTTTAAATAAATAATTTAAGATGGCAAACATATTCAACACACATTTCTCCTCTTATTTTCCCCATATCAGCAACCCTGTGTGGAGGGGAGCTTGGAGAGAATGACTGGCGCAAAGTCACCCAGCTGGCTTTCATGGCTAAGATGGGATTAAAACTCTCAGACTCCTGGTTAGTAGGCAGGAGCCTTAATTACTAGACCAAACTGATTCCCTTTTCATTTTTTAAAATCATGGTTTGTTGGTTGAAGTTGTAGTGGACTGAATACATAACACTAAGCCATAAATCATGATCTGTCAAGCCACAACGACAGGGCCACATATCATGTTAAATCAAACAAAGCAATTGTGTTGTAATATAATGTATGAACCTTACACCAGCTGCTTGATTCTTGTTCTTGCACCATTTATGAAGCTGATGATGTAGCCCATTTGTTGGAGCAGTGTTTGACAAGCAACTTCCGTCATGGCACTGTGGTTAGAATGCAGTACTGCAAGCTGACTCTGCCCAGTGCCAGCAGTCCAATCATGACCAGCTCAAGGTTGAGTCAGCCTTCCATCCTTCCGAGGTTGGTAAAATGAGAACCCACATTGTTGGGGGCAATATGCTGACATTGTAAACTGCTTAGAGAGAACTATGAAGCACTATAAAGCACTATCTAAGTCTATTGCTATTGTTAGTTCCATAAGTCAGTGATCAGAAACAAAAGGGAGAAGGCAAAAAGAAGAGCTCTCTTCAGATTTTGAAAATAGGGGATCACTATACTTAGTTTTCTTAATAGGAAAAGTTTCTTCTTTTATAGAAGGCAATAAGGAAGTTTTGGTTGCACCTATTATGTATTAAAAGAGAAGCAATCAGAGTAGACATGTTTGCCTGCTGGGATCCTGTTGGTACCAGCATCAAAGTTAAAGTGGTTCGTGTGAGCATTGTTGACAATTGTTTATAGACTATTAAAAGACAGCAAAGTATACATATGTTCTAAATGTTTTTATGGTTATATTTTCTGGCTTTGTAAAAAATAATAAAAAGGTGGAATACAAATAAATATATTGCAACAGGAGTACTGGTCAAGTAAAGTTCAGAATGAAGCTTTGGAACAACATGGGGCTTTGGAAGAAGAATGTCAATATTTCCCACCCTTACTCTACAAACAGAAAGTATTCTACTCTTTTCAGAGACTTGAGGCAGGTGCTACCCAGCTATGATAGAGGTGGCTTCTGTAATCTTAAGGAATTCTGGACAGGATAGAATTAAAAACAGAGAATTGGCTTCATTGCAGTTAATAAATAAAAGAATCAGACACCTTAGGGGATATATATATATATATATATATATATATATATATATATATATATATA